ACACACACACACACGCAGAGACTGCAGACCCAGACCACACCGCCTGCCCCACTCCGCAGACTGGCGTGCTCCCTCCCTCAGTTCTGACAGCTTGTGCCTGCGCTCTTTAGTGCTTTGTAAATGGAGTGTCATGTCCTCTGCATACGGGGCGGTTTTGCCTCTTTCCTGCCGCCAAGTTGCATCCTTGTTTCTTCTTGTCTGATTGCTGTGACTGGACTTCCCGTAGTATGTTGAACACAAATGATGAGAGTGGGCGTCCTTGTCTTGTCCCAGAGGTTTAGAAAGGCTTTTAGCTTTTTTCTTTGAGTACTGTGATGACTGTGCTTGTCATAAATAGCTTTTATTACATTGAGATGTCTTCCCTCTGTACTCACTTTGTGAGTTTTTATGAAGAATGGATGTTGAATTTTATCAATGCTTTCCCTGAACCTTTTAGGACGAGCATGTTGTTTTGTCTTTTCTCTTGTTGATGTGTTGATTCACATTGATCGATTTGCATATGTTGAATTATCCTTGTGACCCTGGTATGAATCCAAGTTGATCATGGTGTGTGATTCTTTCTGTGTGTTGTTGAATTTGGTTAGCTAATATGTTGTTGTGCGTTTTACATGTATTTTCATAAACAGCTTTGTTCTGTAACCTTTCTTTTTTGGTTGTGTCTTTGTCTGGTGTAGGTATCAGGGTGACGGTGGCTTCATAGAATGACTTTGGGAGTGTTTCCTCCCCTTCAGTCTCCTGGAAGAGTTTGAAGAGGGCCAGTATAAGCTCCTCTTTGTCAGTTTGGTGGAACTCCTCCATGCAGCCACCCAGCTCTGGCCTTTGGTTTGCACGGAGTTTTTATTGGTATGTTACAGATTCTGTGTCACTTCCCGTGGCCGCTCTGTTCAGGCTGTCTACGTCTTCTTGACTCAGTTCTGGCAGGCTTGTGTCTCTAGAGACGCCTGCATCTCTTCTAGGTTTGCTGTCAGATTGGTCAACACACAGTGGTTCGTAGTACTCTCTCATAAACTTTTGTATTTCTGAGGTATCAATTTTTAAAACTTAATTATTAATTAGTTTTGGCTGTGCAGGACTTCCTTGGTGGCTCAGATGGTCAAGAATCTGCTGCAATGTGAGAAACCTGGGTTCGATCCCTGGTTGGGGAAGATCCCCTGGAGGATGGCATGGGAACCCACTGCAGTATTCTCGCCTGGAGAATCGGACATAGGAGCCTGGCAGCCTACAGTCCATGGGGCCGCAGAGAGTTGGACACGCCTGAGCGAAAGAGGACAGTGCTGGGTCTTCCTGCGGCCCAGGGGCTTTTCCCACGTCGTGCTGAGCTCAGCGCAGCTTTTCTCTTCGCTGCGGTGCCTGGGCTCCTCGTTTTGATGGTGTGTCTTGTCGCAGGGCTGGGCTCTGGGCCCGCGAGCTCAGCATTTGCGGCCTGTGTGGGATCTTTTCCCAGCCCGGGTGGAACCCACGTCCCCTGCATTGGCGGCTGGATTCGTACCCACCAAGCCACCAGGGCAACCTGGTAGCAGCTGTTGTTCCTCCTGTTTCATTTCTTATTTTATTTATTTGAGTTCCATGTTGTTGCCTTTTGAATTTGATGTGATGGGATGGACTCCTACAGTTTTATTTCAGTTATTCACCATTATGCTTGAAAACTGACCTGTGTTACTCTAGCAGTCCACCTTTTTGAATTTTTTGTTTAAAATTCTGTTGCAGATATATACACCAAACCATTCATTTTGGTGAAAGTGATTTCTGCAATCTTTTCTACTGGGAACAACCCACGTGTCCACATTCTGCTTGCACCCTCGTGGCTGTGCACGCATCTTCCTCTAGGTTATGCAAGTGTGGACCAGCGCTGTGTCTCTGCTTTTCACTGAGAATTGCTGCCGACTCTCTAGGTTGAGCAGGGTGATGAGTACACCTGCCCGTGATATGCGGGATTCGTCAGAGTCAGCCTTGTCTCCTCCATCGTTTTCTCCTCCCCTCTCTCACAGATGAACTAGGAGGTGGGCATCTCATCTCAGGGAACCTGGGGCATGAAACTGAGGTGGAGACCATCCTATGTGACGTGTACTGCAAAGGACACATCTGTGCATGTGGGGCCATCGGTGGGGGTGGGTGGACCAGACTCGCTCCTCTGGGAAAGCCAGCCTGCTCCTTCCTTCCCACCCGGCATTTAGCCCATTCACCCGGGCTCCTGGAGGTTGGCCACGGAGAGCGTTTGCACCAAAGCAGACACACAGTTCACACGCCTGGGCTCTTTAAGAATTTATTGCCTGATGATTGTTTCTGTGCTGGGTCTGTGTGCACAGGGGTGTGTCTGGTTGTGATGAGCGGGGCTGCTCCCTCGCTGAGGCATCTGGGCATCTGCAACACTGGCCTCTCTGGCTGCGCGCGGGCTCCAGGACGTGCCAGCCTCAGTCACTGCGGCTCACGGACCCAGTTGCCCCTTGGCACGTGGGATCCCCCAGGATCACGGATTGAACCTGCGTCTCCTGCGTTGGCTGCCAGATTCTTCACCACCAGGGAAACCCCATATCAGCACTCTTTACAAAACGATATATTCCTGAGCTCATTTACCAGCGTAGCCCTGACTGTCACTTCTAGCGCCAGGGATCCCATCGCACTGACAGTGTTTCTGGAGAAACTACACGGGTGTCATCTGATGAGGAGAGGAGGGTGTCAGGGGCCCAGGGGGTTCAGGGAAGAATCTGGATCCATCTGTTCCAAACGGGGCCCCGCTTACACCCATTTATTCAGTTACTTAAACGACGTTCTGTTTCTGAGAAGGGATGGAGGTCATTGCGCACACCAGAGACGGCGGGCATGAACAATGAGGCTCACATCGTCCAGGATAGCGGACAGAGCCTGAGGGCCTGCAGGGTGAGGACCCGCCCCTGCCACTGGGATGCACCTCCGGCCGGGAGTGGGAGGAGCCGGGAGTTGGGGCGTCCTCCCCGGGAGGGAGGGGGGAAGCCCCGTGAGTGGAGGCCGAGCCCCCAGGTCCCCCTCCCCGGGACGCCTGGGCCTCCTCCTGCCTCCGCGGAGCGTCTTCCCCCCCGGGGTCAGAGGCTCTTTCTGAATCTCCCGGGCTGGACGCTCGTGTCGGGGGCTGGGGTGCTCTGGAAGGTGTCGAGGGGCCCTGTGCTCAGTTCCGGGCCGCGTCTCGGGCTCCTCCACGGTCGTGCCGAGCCTGGCAGAGCAGGACCCCGAGGAGCAGCAGGACTGAGGCCGCGAAGCCCATCCGGATGAGATTCTGCACCGTGTAGTCTGGGGTGAGGGCGCACAGGTCAGCGCCGGCACAAGCACCTGCCTCTCGGGAGAGGACGCGGCCCCGAGCCCAGCCCCTGACGGGGACGCTGTCCCCGTCCTCACTCTGGGTCTGACCGCGGTGATGGGGGAGGGTGTCGGGGGCCCGAGGGTCCTGAAGGGAGGCTGTGGGTGGGCCGTGTCCTCCTCGGGGAGCCTCCCGGGGGCAGGATGGGGTGGGGGCGGGCCTGCTCCTCCCCAGACTGACCCCCATCCCGCAGCCTCAGGCCCCTCCAGCCTGTGGCTCCCGCGGCATCTCTGCCCGACTCCCCTCCGGCCCATGACGATCTGAGGGGCCTTGTGCCCCCAGACAATCTCAAAGCGCCCTGGGGTGGGCTGTCTCCCTTGAGCACTGAGCCCTGTGACTCCCCAGTTGTTGAATTGGGGCCCGAGGGTGGGGGCTGGGCCCATGGGTCCTGGGAATGAGCCCAGGAAGGGGTGGGCTGGGCTGACCCGGGGACCCCACCTCACTGCCCTCTGCCCTGCACGGGCCTGTGGCCTCCCCGAGACCGTCCCGGACCCCAGTGCGTGAGGAAGGGGTGGGGTGTGAGCTCCGAGGCCCCTCCCTCAGGGGACCCCTCCCTCAGCACCCCCTCCTCCAGGACCTCCGGGGCCTCCCAGGGCACAGAGCCCCGAGCTGCTGAGTCAGACGGACAGACGGGCCTCACCTGAGACCAGGAGCGCCAGGGGCTCGCTGGGCCGTGACAGCAGGTGGGGCTCTGTGCTGAGTGCGCGGTAGCACCTGTAGGTGCCCCCGTGGGCCGAGCTCACAGGACTCAAGGAGAACTCGGCCTGGAACCGCCCGCCTTGATCCTGGGCGCGCAGACGCAGGGGGTGATGGGCTGCTCCCTCCTGGGACAGAAGGAAGGTGTCCGTCCCGTCTCCTGACTGACACAGCAGGGTCACGTTCTCCCCCGGGGCCACCGAGGGGCCCGGCCGTGCTGAGAGGGAGGGTCTGTCTCTGAGCCATCCTGCAGAGAGGAAGGGGGTGCGGGCCCGGCCCTGGTTCTGAGCGGGACTCCGCTGCCTCTCTGGACCCTCAGCGCCGTCTGTTTCTCCGAGTCTCCCCCTCCCCCACCCCATCTCTCTGTCCCCTCCCTGGGACCCCTCCCCCTGGTCCCAGCATCACCCCTGGGGCTCCCCGGTGGGGCCTGTGCAGAGTCTGGCCCCCGACTGACCCGCTGGCCCCTCACCTGCCACCAGGAGCTCCAGGGGGTCACTGGGGGCCGACCACTCGGAGGAGAGGCCGTGTCCACCGTAGCATCTGTACCGGCCCCCATGGACGGTGCCCACCGGGCCCAGGGGGAAGTCGGCCTGAGAGAGCCCCCCCTGGGCCCTCCGGGCAGGTCGCTGGGGGAGGTCCTGTCCCCCCTCCTTGGACAGAGCGAATCTGGCGTAGTCCATGTCAGAGCGACACTGAAGGGTCAGGTTCTGTCCAGAGGTGACGACAGGGCCCTGCGGGGTCAGGAGGGACGGCTTCCCAGACAGCCCTGGGGAGAGACAGATGCCAGGTTGTTGGGACCGCGTCCCCCGTGGACACCCTTCCCGGCCCAGCCCCAGGCCTCGCCTTCTCTGTCTGTGTGTCTGTCCTGTGACCACCACGCTCTCTCTCCTCCTCACGGGGCTCCCCTGGGAGCAGAGACCCCAGGACGTTGTCTTGTCTGCACAAATGTGGGGTCAGGTCGGGACTTCCTCACCTGAGACCAGGAACTTCAGGGGGTCGCTGGGGGCTGACCACACCCAGGGGGTGTCCCTGTTAAGGCCGTAGCATCTGAACGTCCACCCGTGTCCGGGGCTCACGGGGCCCACGGGGAACAGGGCCTGGGTCTGCCCGTTCGGGCTCCGCTGTCCATCCAGAGTCTGAGAGGACTCATTTTCTCCTTCCTTGGTCAGAAGGAACCTGTTAAATCCCTGACGGGAGCCACACTGCAGGGTCACGTTCCCTCCCGAGGTCACCACAGGGCTCGGCAGGGCTGAGAGGCTGGGTTTGTTGTAAGGTCCTAGGAGAGAAGGAGGCAGCTGGATCCCTAGGACTCCCCTCCACCCCCCGCCCAGGGCTGGGCTGTGAGAGGGACACCCCCTGAGAGCAGACCCCCTCCCGAGGGCAGAGCCTGAGGCCCCCGAGAGTCTCTCACCTGTCACCACCAGCTCCAGGGGGTCACTGAGCTCTGACCAGCGAATTCCCCTGAGATAGTAGCACCAATAGCGCCCTGTGTGCTGCTCAGTCATCAGTGAGATGGAGAACTTGGCCTTGTCCCCGGGCTCCAGGGGTTTCTGTCTGTCCCAGGGGACTGAGCTTCCCTCTTTATCCAGATGGAACTCCTGGGCCTCTAGGGGCCCCTGACACCAGATGGTCACGGGGCTCCCCCAGGGGACCACAGAGCCCGGCTCAGCCCAGATGGTGGGTTTGGGGGGAGCCCCTGGAAGGAAATCAGAGGCGGGCTCACCAGGGGTCTGCCCCCAGGCCCTGGCTCTCAGCCCAGACCTCCCAGACTCCCCCTCTATGAGCCCTGAGCTGCCCTCCCCTCCTCAGGGCCTCGGGGTGACCCTTGTCCCCAAGAGAGGAGAGAGCTGGGCCCTGGGGACAGACTCACCAGCCTGCACCTGGGTCCTCAGGCCCACACTCAGCCCTGGAAGAGAGAGCCCTGTGAGAGGTCTGCCCTCAGCTCTGAGCAGCTCCTCTCGTCCCCGGGAGCCTCCTGGGCCCTGGGGTCCCCTGATGGAGCAGGCTGGCTGGGTGGGGGGTCCCTCCAGTCCAGGGCTCCCCCTGCCCCTCCTCATCTCACCGAGGCAGAGCAGGGCGGGGAGGGTGGGGGCCATGGCGTCTCCTCCCTGCGGTCCAGGCCGTGAGGATGGAGGAGACCTGGGTGTCCTCCAGAGAGACAGAGCACAGGGTGTGTCCTCTCCAAGGCTGGGGCTTCCTGTCACGTGGTTGTCATATCAGCCTCCCCGCAGGAAGGGGAACAGCCTCTTCTTGAAAGCCTGGTGTCGTCCCCATGACAGTCCCAGTGTGTTCCTGAGACGCCCCTTCCAGATGAGGACGGCCAGGCTCCTTCCCTCTGCAAGCCTCGCCTCGGGGTCTGCTTCCTCCTCTGCCCCTCCATCAGCAGGTCCCTGGGGTTCCTCACTGTGGCCGGGTCACCAGGCCCTGGAGATGCTTCGGGGAGGATGCCGGCTCCTGCTGCCCTTGGGGCTGAGATCCCCAGAGACACATCGTTTTTTAATTGGAGGATGGTTCCTTCACAGTATGGTGCTCGTTCTGCCACACATCAACATGGATGGGCCATATGTGTCGCGTGGCCCTCCCTCTTGAACCCCCCCTAGGCTGTCACAGAAGCCTGTGTGGGCTCCTGAGTCACACGGCACGTCCCCCGGCGGTGTGTTTCACACGTGCTCTGTGTGTGTTTCCATGCTACTCTATTCCTCACACCCTCTCCTTCCCCGGTGTGTCCACAAGTCTGTCCTTTATGAGGGACGCACGTTCAGCGTCTCCCTGGGGCTCAGTTGAGTCCGCGTGGCCGAGAGCCCAGAGGAGATGCGCAGGGAATCAGGATGGAAACTGACTCCTCCCCTGCCCTGGAGTGGGGAGCCCCCCATCACAGCCCCCTTCAGGGGCGTCTCTCTTTACCCCATCACTGTCCAGCCCGCCTTGCTGGGAACAAGCCCCCGGGGGCTTCCTGCCTCCTCGGGGCCCCGGGGTCCTTGGGCACAGGCTCCTCCGGTCTTGCCATCACCTGCAGGCTTTCGGGGGTGTTGATTGGGGTCAGAGCTCTCACTCTGGTGGGAACAGATGTTCCTATAAACGTGTGCCCGCTGCTCATGGGACCTTGAGCGACGGTGCCCTTTCTCTGCGCCTGAGCTTCCTCCTCTGCATGTTATCCGAACCCCAGCCCTCAGAGGGGCTGTGGGCTCTTGCTGCCGTCATCACGGTTAATTTCCAGACGAGGTGACAGGAGAGGGTGGACGTGATGGGCTCCTGGCTCAGACTGCACCCAAGGGGGCGAGTGTGGTGCCCACCCAGAGCCTCCTCTGCTCCTGACGCTGAGACCTGCTCCGGAGAGTGTTTCTGCAACACGAAACCACAGACAAGTGCAGAAGAGAAGTTCCCCAAATGGAGAGGGAACCACAGCGAAGCGGGGAGAGGTAGGCGGTGTGGCCCCGGCAGCGGGGATCATCTCGGGGTCAGAGGGAGGTCCACCCGTGTGGACACAGAGAGGGACCCATCCTCACAGAAACATAAAGGGAGGCAAGCATGTGGATTATTTCGTAGAAGAACAGGCAGTTACTGAAAAGAGTCGAACAGTTTTGACGTGAACAATCCAGTAGATTCAACATTTTAAAAAAAGTCAGGCAGTCAAGCAGACAGCTGAGCGGCCACATGTGAAGTCGGAGTATAGCACTGAGGGAATGTTCCGGAATGCAGCAGAGAGCGCAGAAAGGCAATTCAGTAGAGGCGGGACTGTGCTGAGGGCCAGTGTGGTGTCTGTCTTAAGTGTCAGAAGCGAAGAAGCTCACGACAGACAGCAGTGGCTGAAGAAATGAATAGCGGAGCCTCCTTTCCTGAGGAGAACCGACCTGGGGAGGGCTGGGGCACATGGATGTACACGTGACACCCGAGGGCGGCCCTGCTGGGCCCGTGACTGAGACTCGGCGCTCCTTACTGAGGGTTAGGGTTCGATCAGGGCTCAGGGATCCAGACGCGGCACACTTTGGCCAAAGACCCCGCACCCTGCAACCGAGAGCCTGTGTGCCGCAGCTGTCAACAGGTGGGCTATTCAAAAGTAACATCTGTATCTTGACCTTTCATATAGATAAAATGAAGGTCAAATTTAAAAAGTATTTCCTACTGAAATGTACAATTTGAAACAGTTTATTCTAACTAAATTTCAGCTGAAAAAAAAAAAATGAAGGCGGATCGGACTGAGACCCTGAAAAGGCGTTCTTGCAAGGGGCGGAAGCCAGAGCTTCATGCAGAACACATCGCCAGCTTCCAGGAGGTTCTGTACCGCCTCCCGCTGTGGGCCGTGCCTCAGCCTCACAGCCGCCAGGTCCTGAGAGAGGAGGGCCCTGGGGGCCTGGATCCCTTAACCTTGACAAGTGTTTTCCTCTCCTTGTACTTGAGTCACCTGCTTGATTCAAAATAGGAAGTGTTCTCAAGTAACTTGATCAAAAGAGAATGAGTGTGAAAGAAGGCATTTCCAGAGGTGCACGTCCTTAGATGCTGACAGTTTTCACACGGGAAGCAATACTCAGAGATGGCAGAGAGACAGTGAGGTGCAACAGAGAGGAACGCGTGGCCGAGATGAGCTTTGGAAAGTTACACAGACACACTTGCACGCACAAACACACCCACACGTGTGCACAGAGACGTGCGCACGCCCACACACGTGTATAAGAGTATCCAGGGTTCTTCAACTGATCGATGTGGTGTGGTGGTGCTCTCCCGGGCCGGGCCTAAGCCGTGCCGGACGAGGGACGGGCGTTCCCAGTGAACGGGTCCGCTCTTCTCGGTCTGTCCGCGGGGCCCCTCGCCTGTCTTTCCCCCTTGCCCCTTGGGGGGTGTTGGGGTGGGGCCTCCGGCCCTGACCTTCGGTCTCCCGTCCCCCGCCTTGGGGTGTCTGGTGGGGCCGTTGGTCTTCGGACACAGCAGATGCGCCTGCTCGCCTTCCTGGCGTGTTGCCCCGCGAGCGGCCCTCCCCGTGGTGGGGAGGGCTGTGCCGCTGCCACGCCACACGCCCCCGCACGGGTGTGTGAGCGTGCCTCGATGGACCCTGGGCGGTGGCCCTGGCGTGCTCCAGGGCGTCCCTCAGGTGCTCGAGGCCGAGCGGTGGTGCCGTTTTCCCTTAACCCCGTGTCCTCCTCGGGTCCCCGCCACGGCGCTGTGCGTGTGTCCCATGAGCGGCTCTCTCTGGGTGGGAGCGGGTCGAGGCGGTGAGAGCATTGTGTGCTCCCCTCGTCGCGGAGGCTGCCCGATGAGGCCTTGCAGGGGGCGGGCGCGGGCTCTGCCCCGGCCCTGGCCGCGCACGCGCTCCTGTGCGTGGTCGTCCGCTTACCGGTACCGCAGACCCCTCCCGCCCAGTTGAGGACTGGCGGCTCCCGGTGTGCCTCCGTGTTGCCCGAAGGAGAGACGGCGCGCCCTCGGTGAGAAAGCCTTCTCTAGCGATCCGAGAGGGAGCCCCAGCCGCTGCCCCTCCCGAGCGCGCAGTGGCCACCGCGGCGACTGCCAGAGCACGTGGGCAGAAAGCTCCCCTCCCCTCCGTGGGAAGCGGGCTGATGGGTGCGCCGGCCCCGCGGTGGGGCCGTGTGCCGCTTGTTGCCTACTGCGGCCTGCGCCTCCCCCCTCCGAGTTGGGGGAGGGTCCCGCTGGGCCCCGCCGGGTGTCTGGCGAGTGGGGGGGCCGTGCGTGTGTGCTGTGTGCGCCAGGCCGCCCCGTGGTGTGAGCCCAGGGGGAAGGGGGTGGTCGCGGCGCGACGCCTGGTGGGCCCCGGCTCCCCCAGCCCCGCAGCCTTGGTGAGGGGGAGGAGCCTGTCGCGCCCGCCCTCGCCCCGGAGCCGCAGCCGGTGGCGGTGTTGTGGGCCCGGTCTGGGCCGCCTCGCTGGAGAGCGTGTCCCCAGGGTGTTGAGCCTCGGGGTCAGACTTGGATGGAAGATTGATCTGTCGTGGATGGATGGATGGATGGACGGATGGAGGAAGGTGGCTGGACGGCAAGCCGGCCCTGGCGGCGGGGCCGGGTTGTGGGGCCCGCTCCAGGGATGGCCGGGAACGGCCGGCGTCCCAGGCGTCGCAGGACCGCCCTCGTGTGTGGGTGGCGGTGGGATCCCGCGCTGGTTTTCCTGGTGGCCCGCTGTGTCCCGGTGTTTTCTGGTCCCCGGGCCGGCGCCCTCGCCCCCGTCCCGCGGCCCCTGCTGCGTCCACCGCTGCCGGCCTTCCTCCTCGTCCCGTGCGTGCGACCCCCTTGTCCCCTCCCACCCCCGTCCCCCGCGGTCTGGGACCGAGCTGGCCTCGCCTCACGTGGGTGTCGTCTCCCGGCCTCTGTCGGCCGGTGGCGGCCCCGGGTGGCGCAGTGCCCCCGGAGCCCTGAGGGGGAGTGGGGCGGGCGGGGGGAAGCCTTCGGCGCACAGCAGGGTTGCGCGTGTGAGGGCTGTGGGGGCCGCCGGTACGCGGCGCGAGAGCGTTCTCCCGGGCCGGCTGCGGCTCTGGGTGTAGGTGGCGGTGGGCGTGAGGCCCCGTGAGGGGTGCGCCCCCCTCCCCCGCGCGGGGGTGGGGTGTGTGGGCGGAGAGGCCAGTCTGTCGTTCTGGGTGTGCCGCGGGACCGGCCCTGTGCTGGGAGGCCTCTGGCGGTGAGATCCCGCGCTGCGCCCTAGCGGCCGACTCGCTTCCCCCGGGTCGTTTCGAGCCCATCCCCCTCGCGGTGGCGCGC